CCCCCCCCACCAAAGAAATGGATTGGCCAAGTGGCAGCATTGATGGACTCAAGAGTGGCAACAGTAGTGAAGTTGGCCCAGGATTGGGCAGGGTTTCGTTCTGCTGTGCATAAGGTTGGTATGAGTTAGTACTGACTCGATGGCACCTAACAATAACAAAACTGTCTTTCCAAATGAAGAAACTAGTGTTGGGGCACAAGCAGTAGACTGTGAACAGTGGAGGTTAAGACTCAAGTCCATCTCTGAGACCAACCAGAGATGGGAAATTAACCAATTAGAGTTTGGGGCCTAAACAGGGTCACTATGGGTTGGAAGCAACTAGACGGCACTTCACAACAACATAACAGTATAAGCTTATAGTTCATCCTTTCTGTAGATATCCAAGATATAATCCCAAATTAAAAACTCTAGACCAAGTACAAAAACCAAGTACCTGAGGACGCTGAGCAATAAACATAAATGGGCAGCTTGTGGAGGGAATCCAAAACCTTGAGAAGCTACCCACACAAGTTGTGGCTTTGCCCTGAGGAAACCCCAGGAAACCCCAGTCCTGGCATGGACTGACCCCAGCAGATGCATAAAACTCCAACAGAAACCACTCCTGTGTCAAAGGAGCCAGGAAAAGAAACTCCAGAGGGCCAGAATGTAGGAAGAACCCCAGAAGGAAGAGCTTCAGGGAAGCGAATTCCCTAATAATCTGAGTGCACCCACATATGTCTCACCCTAACCCCTGAACTACATTTGTGTGGAATACATCACCCAAACAATGAGAGCAAAGGATTAGAGAACTGAACTGAGATTTGATCTACCTACCTTCCACAGACAGCAAGATAGAACTATGGTCTAAACGTAGATATTCTTCAGAAAATTCAAACACAAAACAAGAGTCTATACATCACCGCATTCAAATGTCCAAGATGCTGTGGTGGTAGCCACACCTGGTCTCCAATTCCAGTTTACATCCCCAAATTACTCAACATAAAAAAGCATCCAATTCTCATGGTAAAATGATAATCAACAGATACAAAATGCTAGGTTATCAAAAACTTTAATACAGCTATTAATAACTATGTTCCATGAGGTACAGGAAACACACTTGACATACATTAAAATAAAAAAGAGAGAGCGAGAGAGAGACTTGTCCATAGAATTCTGTTAAGATAGTGACCTAGAGAGACCACTGTTCCCATCCTCCCCAACAAATACAAGGTGCTCGGCTTGGAGGGACTCTGAATTCGGGAGTTGCAGACAGACAGGAATCAATGAATCAACAAGAAATTAAAACCAGTAGAAAACTCATTTTGCCCACAATCCTGCCTCTCCCTTCAGCCACACAGGCTACTGGATGTTGTTTACTGGCAAGATACCTCAGGTAAAGAGGCTGCATTCCTGCCTGTCACGGCCCTGGCCTGGACAAAGAAACAGGGCCTCACACTTAGGCTCCAAAAACCAATTAAGGTAGACCTCTCTCCAGGGGTCTGTCTGGAGTGTGCCAACACCTCACCTATCTAAACACTGCTGGGTGCAAGCGTCCTGTGAATCACTACAGCAGGTGTGTGCGGTGGAGTCAACACTGTACCTGCCTCCCTGCACACCTCAAAGCTCAGGCCTCTGACACAAATGACAGGTCAGGCCTGCCTGCTGCCTGCTGCCTGCTGCCTGCTCCCTGCCCCAGTGTGGACGAGTGTGTACTGAGGATGCTGTGTGCTAAGAAGCAGGCATCTTGAGTGGAGGCAATTTCCACAGTCAATATACTAGAGGAGGGGCTCTGGTAACAACTAAGCAGACCTACCCTGGGTCTGTCCTGAGTGTGGAAGTAACAGAAACTATGGAGAAGGCTCCCTACCGTGGAGTCAGGAGGTGGCTCACCTAAGTGGAGACAGCTTCTCCAGCCACCACAGGCCTAGGGAGGCTCTCAGAGGTTCTTCTAGAGACTGCCTGCCCCTCCTCCTTTTGACACAAATGAAAGTCTACCTGTGCTTCCCCTGAAGGTCAGCTCAGATATAAGCAGCCCCACAGAATAGGGAAGGAAGTCTCAGACTCAACTGGAAGGCAACCCAACCCCAAAGAGGGTTTTGTGGATGCGGGTTTTTCAACTAAAAACTTGGTTTTAGAACAAAAGGAAACTATGATGTGCTGATACTGTAGAATAAGTGCTGAGCTTCTAATCTCAAGGCTTTTTGTTCAAACCTACCAGCTGCTTCTCAAAAACCCTGTACAGAGTCACTTTGAGTTGGAATAGATGCAATGGCACTTAACAACCAGATAGAAAATATTGTGCCTCCTAATGGGCAAATTGATTCTTTCATAATATTTCATCTGCATTTCGAGGACATCGTTGGTTGAAAACCAAGATTTGTAACTTCTAAACCTTACTTAAACCCATGAGATAGAATAAGCTATCACAGAAAGGGAGAAGAAATGGTAAACCAAAGGTCAAAGACTCAGCTCATGTAGGAGATTTTTGCACAGTGGCTGCCTCACTAAGCACTGGCCTGCCAACCACAATGTCAGCAGTTGAGCCTGCCAGCTGCTCCATGGGAGAAAGATGAGTCTTTCTGCTCCTGAAAAGAAGGACGGCCTTGGAAACCCTATGAGTTGGAAACAACTCAGCAGCACATAACAACAACAGTGTGCACAACACTGCTACATACAGGAGGAAACTGATAAAAGTTAACACTCTTGAAAAATGTCCATTTCCCCAACAAAAAAAATCACAAGACACATAAAGAACAGAAAAACAATGACCCATCCAAACGAACATGACAAAGGGAGTGAAGCACATGTAGGAATGACCAAATAATGACAAAAATGGATGAATACAACAACAATAATAAAGAATTAAGTGACTACATAGACAAAGAGCTAAAAGAAATAATGCAATGCAAAAACAAAATGAGGTTCTAAAAACAGATACTGTAAATGAATGGAACCACAATTGAAATAAGAAACACAATAAAAGGACTTAATAACAGATATAATCAAGAGGAAGAAAGAACCACAAAATTAATGAATAAGACAGTTAAAATTCTAGGTACTTAAAAACAAGAATGGAGACTCAAGAAGACTGAGCACAGTTTGATGGAGTTATGGGACAAAAAGATCAAATATACGCATCATGTGAATTTTAGAAGAAGATAAAGGGACGGAAGGAATATTTGAAGAAATGAGAGAAAATTTCTCCCAATCTAATGAAGGGCATAATCTACAAATCCAAGAAGCTCAAAAACTTTAAACAGGATAAATTCAAAAAGATCTACCCTAAATCACATCCTAGTTAGAGTCTTAAAAAGTAAAGCAAGAATCCTGAAAGCAGTGAGAAAGAAGCAAACAGTCACATACAAGGGCTCCCCAATAAGACTAAGTGCTGATCTCTCCTCAGAAACATTGGAGGCCAGAAGGAAAGATATGTAAAGTGCTGGGGGGGGCGGGGGGGGTCAGTGGTAAGACCAAAACAAAACACCTACCAACCAGGGAAACTATACCCAGCAAAATGATCCTTCAAGAATGGGAGTGAAAGTAAACCATTCCCAGATGTTGAGAGTTCAAATCCACCAAGCAAGCCCTACAAAAATAAAAAGTTGAACTGACAAAAGTTGTACATTTACAACAATGACTCCCAAAAAGTAGCCACTGAGGTTATTTATGTATAACCCAAAACTTCATGAGATCAGTTCCCTTGGTTCTGAAATTTCGAGTCATGATTTCATGAGACACCCCAGATAAATGGCCTGATTACAGGTGTTGTATGGCCTCCTAGTTCATTGTGTATGGAAATTTAAAGAAGAAAAAGACAATTTCACAATCACAATATGTTTTACCGCTCCTCTCAGTACACTGGAGTCCTGGTATGGTGCAGCAGGAGAAGCACTGGATCTCAAGGTTGGTTTGAATTGCAAGGTCGGTGGTTCAAACTTACCAGCCTCTCCTTGGAAACCCTATATATGGGTCGCTATGAGTCAGAACTAACTTGATGGCACACACAACAAGAACTCAGAATATTAGAGAACTAGTGTGTGTGTGTGTGTGTGTGTGTATGTGTATATATAAACAGACGATGAAGATGTAAACAACACTATTAGTCACCTTCATACAAAGAACCTCTATAAAATTGCATCCAATAACTGCAGAATACACATTTCTTTCTAGTGTACATGATACATTCACCAAGAACGAGCACATGCTAGATCACAAAACAAGTTTCAAAACATATGTGGGGATTGATATCATTCAATGCGTCCTGGTATGGCGCTATGGGTTACTGCACCAGACTGCAAAGCCATTTGAACTGCAAGGTCCATGGTTCAAGCTCACCAGTGGCTCCTTGGAAACCCTATACAGGGCCGCTATGGGTCAGAGTCGACTCAACGGCACTTAACAACAACAACAACAATTCAATGGGTATGCTCTGTCTACAAAGAAATCAATAAGAAGATATCTATGAAATATCCAAATACCTGGAAATGAAACAACACTTTTCTAAATAACTTATCAAAGTCAAAAATCAAAAGGTGCCTTTTGGGGTGATGAGACGTTTTAGAATGAGATACTGGTGATGAATAGCATGGCCTTGTGAATATACTGCTGTCCACTGAATTGTACATTTTAAAATGATAAGTTTTTCACATGCAAATTTTTTCAATTTTCAAAAGGGGAACATGAAATATTCTGAGTGCTGTTATGGCACTGGAGTCCCGGTGTGGCGCTACAGGATAAGTGAACCACAAGGTCGGTTTGAACCATAAGATCAACGGTTCAAACTACCAGTTGCTCCTCAGAAACCCTATACAGAGTCGATATGAACTGGAACCAACTCGATGGCACGTAACAACAACAGCAAAAACCTGAGTAACAACAAAAATACATTATATATCTAAATCTGGGGCTTTAAAGCCTTAATTTAGAAATGCTTATATAACAAAAAGATCTAAAATTCCATCTTAAGCTACAGACAAAAACAAAACAAACATAGCCAAGAGTAAAAATCAACCAAAAAGTAAATAGACAGTAGAGAAGATTAGCGAAACAAAAAGTGGGTTCCTTTAGAAAGATCACCAATAACAAACCACTAACTAATCTCATCAAGAAAACAAGAAAAAGAATACAAATCAACAATACTAGGGGAAATAAACATAGCATCTACAGACTGTACAGACAGTTAAAACATAATACAAAAATCTCATGAATAACTTTCCAACAAACTTAACAACTTAAATAAGAGAATACATTTTTTTAAATATGCAATTCACTGAAATTGACAAGAGACAAAAAAAGTTTAATATCAACCAGAGAAATTGCATCTACTACTGAAAACATTCCCCAAAAGAAATGCCAAGTCCACAGTGCTTCATAGTGAAAAAATACCACCAAACTTATATAAACTTGGTTAAAAAATCAGGGGGAGGGCTCCCTGCTCAGCTTGTTCTCTTACTCAGCCTAACTCTATTGCCAAAACCTGACAAAGACATTAACAAAAAATTACAATTATTCCATGAATAATTCTAAAAGCCTTAAGGTATTAGCAAAGCCAACTATATATAAAATGTATAATACAAATGGACTTGAAAAACTTTATATAAAAATTCTATGATCTTTCAATTCCATTTTTCCATAAACTTTAGGGTACTTTAGCCTAATAATTCAAGGTTGGTTTAATATTAAAAAAATTTTTTAAAAATGGAAAACCATTTGAAGGTTCTTCAAAAGATTAAACACAGAATTACCATATGCTCCAATATTTCCACAGCTAAGTACATGCCCAAAAAAAGTGAAAGTAGGACCAAAGATATTTGTATATCAATACTGCAGTACTAGTCACAATACCAAAAAATGTGGCATATACACATATGCAGTGAATTATTACTTAGCCATAAAGAAAAATGAAGTCTTCTTGATACATGCTACAATATGGATGAGTCCTGAAAACATTATGCTGAGTGAAATAAGTCAGTCACAAAATAAGTCAGACAAATATTGCCTGATCCCACTCATATGAAATACCTGCAACAGGGAAGTGTACAGACACCAAAGCTGATTAGTGGTTACTAAGGGCTGATGGGAGAGACGGGGGAAGAGGGCTTGGTGCTTAGGGGACACCGAGCTTCTGTTAAAGTGAGTAGAGAAGTTGGAAAGGGTCAACTTGATGACCACACTGTCACTAAGCTCAACAACTGAAGATGACTGAAATTGTGAATGTTTTGTTGCAGATATGTGTATGTGTATATATAAGTACAGTGTACCTGACCCAAGCCATGGTATTTTCAATAACCTCATACACATGCGAAAGTTGGACAGTAAATAAGGAAGATTGTAGAAGAACTGATGCATTTGAGTTATGGTGTTGGAGGAGAATATTCAAAGTGCTGTGGGCTGCCAAAAGAACCAATAGATCCGTTTTGGAAGAAGTGCAGCCAGAGTGCTCCTTGGAGGCCAAGATGGCCAAACTTTGTCTCTCATACTTTGTACATATTGTCAGAAGGGACCAGTACTGGAGAAGGATATCATGTTTGGTAAGGTGGAGGGTCAGAGAAAAGAGGAAGACTCCCAGTGAGATGGATTGGCCAAGTGGCAGTATCAATGGGCTCAAGCGTGGCAACAATTGTCAGGTTAGCCCAGGACTGGGCAGTGTTTTGTTCTGTTGTGCATAGGGTTGCTATGAGTCAGTAACAACTCGATGGCACCTAACAATAACAACAACAACACAGTGCACAGTACATATATTTATAATTTAATTGATTTTTTAAAAATCCATTCATGTGATACGTCATATTAGCAGAATAAGGAGGAAATTCACAATCGTTTTAAAAGATGCTGAAATGCCATTTGGCAAAAATCAACACCTGATAGTGATTAAAAACTGTCAACAAACTCAGAACAATAGAGACTTCTCCACATTGACAAAGAGCTTCCAAAAACAAAGTCCCTTGTGCAGTGGTTGCTTCATGTAGGCAGTGAGCACACAGGGAGGGAGGCAATGGCAGCAGCCCGGCATCACCCCGTGATCCCAATTCACTGGAGGAAGAGCAGGACTCTGCTTCCATTCACAAGGAAATCACTTGCAGATGTCTGAATCCCAGATTACACTACTATATCAGAAGGTACAGCAAACCACAAGCCCATCCGCAAAGGAGCCAACACTCAATTTCAAAAGGCACGTCCGGCTCCAAGGAAGGAGACAGCAGCTGCTTAATCTTTTCCAGGGGAGCCGGATAGCGTGACATGAAAACTCCAAACTCTTCATTCTCTGTAACTAACTATTGCGGTCTTCAGCAACCTCCTTCACCCAAATGTGTACTTAGTTCTCTAGCATAATGTACAGTCCTGACAGAGACACACACACACATACCCACATGCAGCACCTGAGTCTGGAGGGGTGGAAGGTAATACCTACCCACATGGGAAATAAAGTATAAGGTATGGCAGGCCTCTGCAAACTGCAAAGAGCAGTAAGTGACTTACACTGTACATTCTTCAATGTGAATGCGTACATACTGCTGTCCCATTAAGTACCACGAGGATGAGAGCGCTCTCTGAAGAACTCCACATCACATCCGACATGATGGGGGTGCGCACACCTGCTGGGGTGCTCAAAAAACCCCTGTTGCATGATGCACTGAGTTTTACCCCAGGGCTCTCTGCACACGCAGAACCATGCCACTGAAGGCAAGCCCTCCAAAATAAGACCAGACATACTTCCCTGGGCATTAATACATCACAAGAGACTGGTTACAATGTTTGTATACACTTAGGAATTTTCTACTGTCCAAGGCCATGTTCACATTTCAGGACTAGAGAACCAGTTTCATTTTCAGAAGTGGTACAGTCAGTGCCTGAGGAACCAACCTTAGGGCAAAACCAGAGTCGTCTTCTACAGCATAGATTAGGATGAAACAACGTATACAGCACACAGCGTAGTAAAGAGATACAGGATTTTAATAATATTTGGGGTGGCAGGATGGGGACACAAACTGTTTCTGAATCTGACAGGACTCCAACTTCTCTATAAGTTACTGCTATATTCAGCACATGGTAATGACTACCTACTCCATGCTAGGCAATGGGAGGTCCTAGGACACAAGATGTGAGCACAGCAGACATCATCTCTGCTCATACAATCTTGGATTATTTAGTAAAATTCACAGATGAATTAAAAAAAAAAAAGTCTCTCTGTGACTTTAAGAAAACATTTTTGCCAACATCATGAATCCATGGGCTGGGCTGACTCTCGAGCATTGGTGCCCAGGGCTCTCTTTACAGTCATACTTGGCAAGACTGGCCTCTTTGCCCTGGGGCACATGTGTCCCTGAAATGCTGAGGCACAGCCCATGTTCTCACACAAACAAGAAGCAAGGGGGCCCACTGACCTCTCGCCACCTAGCTCCGGCACTGCTAGAGATGTACACGTTCGTCTTGCTTGCCAAGTTCTTTCCCACAGAACCTAAAATGTAAGAGGAATGATTATTTTTAAAAGTAAAAAATGTACCAGATAATCCCCTTGCCTAAATAGAAATACAAAGTTCTATGTGACAACCACTGGGGCAGTGGTGGCGCAGTGGTAGAATTCTTGCCTTCCACATAGGAGACCCAGGTTCGATGCCCAGCCTGCATACCTTATGCACGGCCACCACCCGTCTCTGTCAGTGGAGGTTTGTGTGTGGCTCTGATGCTGAATGGGCTTCAACAAGAGCATCTCCAGACTACGATAGACTAGGAATAAAGGCCTGGCAATCTACTTCCAAAAATCAACCAATGAAAACCCTGGAATCAAAACAGTTTGATCTGCAACCAATCATGGGTATGGTAAAGGACTGGCCAACAATTTTTCCAGGTGCCTGAGGTCAACTTGAGTTGGGGTCAACTTGCTAACCACCACACGTTAACAATAAATAATGTCTCAGAGAGCAGGCAAAGTAAACTCACCGGTGGCAATGATAAGACCTGGAGCAGACTCCTTGGACAGGATGGGCATTCTCCGGAGCTGGAAGTTAAGCAGCTGACTAAGACGCTGGGCCAGGTGCAGGGAACAACCCTGGGAAAGCTACAGAACAAACGTTGTGCACAATGTCAGCACATGACACGATTCCAAGATGTCTGTAAACACTGAAGTCTGTGAAGATACTGCTGCTGCACATAGACATGGAAACCTGGCCCAGAAGGAACTAGACTCCAAGCCGGATTGTCTCCACACCTCTGCGAGATGGAGATGATAAAGTGAAACCACACAAATGCCTCCCATTGAATGGAAAAATAATCACCATAAAAATAATTCTGAGACTCCCAGAGAAGAGCAAATAGAAAGCAAGTGTCAACTCAAGTAAAGAGAAACAGGATCACTCCCTTCTTTATCGCCCAGTGGTCCTCTCCAATGACTCAGAACCAAAGGGGAGAGTGAACAGATTTCTTGGTATTTATTTTCGAAGTCAGCACAGATGCGTTTCACGTATGTTTTAAGCAATTCTGTCAGAATTTGAAGTCATAAAGTCTCATTAGTAAGCTCCCAGATAAATAGCCAGTGACATCCAAACAGCAAAATACCACTGTTTTCAAAAGATTCTCACTCAAGTTTTTAAACAGCAGCCTGTGCAATGGACATAATTAATGTCACTGAGCTGTCCATGGGAAGACTGCTGTACTGGCCAATCTGCTACCGATCTAGTTATCACAATATAAACAAGTAAGTAGGTAGGTAGTATGCATTTGTACAAAGGTGCGGGTATACAACGCAAGGCTTCAAGTTACTCAAACGGGCCAAGCCTGCTTGTATGTTCAGATTCTCAGTAGTTCTGCAAACAATGTGGACATGGCCTTTTGCTATGGGATCATGTCTAATTCTCCGAGCCAGAAAATGATTTTCAGTGATCATTTGGCTGTGCTCAGGGTTTTAGACAAGGAAACTCGGTGTGTGCTTATGGTACAAGTGACAACTATGTTAAGGCTTGCTAGATGTACCTATTTCTGACACAAAGGATCTCTCTAATAGGTATTAATTGGCAAATGAGATTTAGGTTGAGTCTCAACAAGGTATTAGTAAATTTTCCTTTTTCTTACTTAGGTTTCCTTGCCTGCAAGCAAGTTGTTGTTGTCCTTGTTAAGTGTTGTAAAGTAGGTTCCAACTCATAGCGACTCTGTATAGGATCTTCAAGCAACTGCTGGTGGGTTTGAGCCACTGACCTTCTGATTCACGTCCAGTGCTGATGCTACAACGCCACACCAGAAGTCCTTGGGAGGACCATGGTAATGATGTAGGATAAGCACTGGACTACTAACTAAAACGTCAGCAGTTCAAATCCACCAGCTGCTCCATGGGAGAAAGATGAAGCTTTCTGTTCCCATAAAGATTTACAGCCTCAGAAAACCTAGACAAGAGGACTGTGGCAATGAAGAGTTGGGTTTAGTGTTTTGGTATTTGGTATAAGTCCATGGGTGGTACAAATAGTTAAACAGTCAGCAACTACTAACTAAAAAGTTGACAGTTCAAGTCCACCCACAGGGATGTTAGAATAAAGGCCTGGTAATCCACTTCCAAAGGATCACATCCATGAAAATCCCATGGAGTATAATTCTAATCTGAGCTACCTATTGCCATGAGTCAAAACTAACTGGACAACAAATGAGTTTTTGTTGGTTATTTTAATAATTTCTTTCACTACCTAAAATCCAGAGTGGTGTTGTTAAGTACCATGGAGTTGGTTCTGACCCACAGCGACCCTCTATAGGGTTTCCAAGGAGCAGCTATTGAGTTTGAACCACCGACCATTCAGACCAGTGCTTTATCCCACAGGAAACTAAACATGTCCTATTTCACATATAAACTGTTTCCTGTCAAAAAAACAAAAACTTGAATTTTAACAGTATAATTAACCATATTTAATTCCTCTATTATGCTGGTGTGGCACCGTGGGCTAATTCACTGGACTAATAACCACAAGGCCAATGGTTCAAACTCACCAGCTGCTCCTTGGAAACCCTACAAAGGGTTGAGGAACCGACTCGATGGCACTTAACAACAATCATGCTCAAAAGCTCCCCACCTTATGCACACCAAGATCATGCGGAACCTGAGAGCCAGGACACCCACTGAGCAAAAGAGAAGCACCTACAGATGTGTCTGTACAAGGAGCCTTAGAAAAGTTCATGGAAAAATTCCATTGTTTTTAATTCCATTTTCCACAAACTTTTTGAAGCCCCCTCTTTATCTACCATACATCACGTAACATCCACAATATATTTTGTGAAATATGGTGTTCTGTGAATTGGATGTTGTGTGTAGTGAACACCATATTACATTATAGGAAGTCCAGATTGTAAATGAATTCTGTTTGTCTATCTATAAGTCAAGTTCGTATGAAAGTCATAAAAGTTAGATATGGTTCATATCTAAAGTCAGACAGATGGTTATCTTAGTATATATGTACAGTTAAGTGCCATGTTGTCAGTTCTGACTCATAACAACCCTGTATGCTGTTTCCAAGGAGCAGCTGGTGGGTTTGGACTATCAACCTTGTGGTTAACAGTCTGGTGTTTCTCCTACATCTCCACACCAGGACTCCATGTTAAGTATATATGTATGTACTTATATTATGTGATATCCCCATTCCTCCTGAAAATAGAACATGATCTAAGGTTAAAACTGTGAACAAACTCAAAGTAATTCACATGGTATCTAACACATAGGAGTATTATGGTGCTTCCCTCAAAAACTTAAAATATCCCATGGTGTCCTTATGAGTTCACTACAGTACCCCAGGGTGCCTTGGTACATAGTTTTGGAATTATAAGGGTAGACATACAGATAAAAGTTTATTCCATATGACATTATTGGAACGCTAATAGAGATGCCCTGGTGTGGTGATGTGAGTTAATGCGCCAGACTGCAAAGCCATTTGAACTGCAAGGTCAGCAGTTCAAGCTCACCAGCTACTCCTTGGAAACCCTCTACAACAGCACTTAACAACAACAACAATAGAGAAGAACGAATGCATTTTTACAGTTGAGCTCTGGTAGCGTAGTGGTTACGAATCAGGCTGCGAACCTTAAGGTCAGTGGTTCGAAACTACCAGCCACTCCGCGGGAGAAAGATGAGGCTTTCTACTCCCGTAAAGATTTACACCCTTGGAAACCCTGTACAGGGTCGCTATGGGTCGGAACCGACTCAACGGCACTTAACAACAACAACAACAACAAGAGAAGAATACTGAAAGTATCATGGACTGATAGAAGAACAAACAAATCTGTTGGAAGAAGAAGAAGTACAGTCAGAATGCTCCTTGGCAGCCAGGATGGCCAGACTTCGTCTCTCATACTTCAGATATATCATCAGGAGAGATCAGTCCCTGAAGAAGGACATCATACTTGGTAAAGTGAAAAAGAGGAAGACCCCTAAGAAGATAGATTGCCACAGTGGCATCAGCAATGGGCTCAAGCGTAGCAACAGTTGAAAGGAAGGCACGGGACCAGGCAATGTGTCATTACATATGCAGGGTTGCTAGGAGTCGGAGCTGACTCGCCAGTACCTAACAACAACAATGTTGTGATCCTGCATTTTCCAGTATATACTAGATGTAGGGGTGCTGGTGTGACTCTGGGGGTTAGCGTGCTGGACCACCAAGATCGGGTTGAACCACAGGGTTGACAGTTCAAGATCACCAAGCACTCCTTGAAAACCCTATACAGGGTTGCTAAGAGTAGGAATGGCTTGAAGGCACTTAACAACAACAACAGCTAGATGTAGGAAGTTACTGTAGACCACAGCTGCTTCCTTTGCATTAACAGCTCAAGCAAAAACAAAGCATCTATACCTCACAATTTATTTTCTCTCCATATCCTGTGAAGGCTGGAGCCTGAAGAAATTCCCAAGTTCCTCCTTTGTCAAAGGTGATGACCGATCTCATGTTCTCCTCGTTCATAGAGCCGTTAATCAGTGTAGCAATGTATACGCCTTGCAATCCTTCCACTCGGTGGAAGTCAGCAAATGGCTCATTTGCAAAATACCTACAGTAAGAGAAAGTAACAGCTATGAATTTGAATCTATCATTTATTGGTATTATTTAAAGGTGATTGCTTTTTAACTTTGAGTGTCAAGATGCTTACCTGATTAATAACTCCTAGAAGGGGGATTAGAGTTATGAATATAATACACAAAAATTGGCCTCTATTTCTTCATTATCAAAATTGATCTCCAATCCTCCAGACAGCCTTGACAATCAGGAAATGTTAAACCAGATTTGCAAAACACTAATAAGAACTCTGAAGTTGACAATTTAACCCCACCCACAAGAATACAGCTAAGGGTCAGGCACTAGTGTTCTGCTCGGACAGCAGCCCACAGGGTTTCTGTCAGGAAGCCCAGCATATTCACTGATTTCTTTCCAAAGAGGCAGTGAGTGCATACAGCAAGGAGAGCACTAGAATCTCCTTGTTAACAGTGAAGCAAAGAAGAAAGCCCTGCTAGGCTAAGAAACTGGAATTCTCTGCAAAGTAATTTTATACTAAAATAGCACATCACAAATAGAAGGAATTTTCTCATTATCATAGTTCACACATGGTTTTTTAAAACTGGAAGTGTGTCCTTTACATTTAGGAGGTTCTAAATATCTGGGCTGGTGTGGCGCTGTGGGTTAATGTGCCAGACTGCAAAGCCATTTGAACTGCAAGGTAGTTGGTTCAAGCTCACTAGCTGCTCCTCGGAAACCCTATACAGGGTCACTATGGGTCAGAACCGACTCAACGGCACTTAACAACAACAAATATCTGGGCTAAGCAATGAAATAGAGAAGTGAGACTTTCTCCATTATCCGTCATCTTTAGATGGGCAATTGTTCCATCACATCAGACAGAGAGATGCATATGAAAAACTCTGAGGTAAGGAACAAAAAATAATCAGCTCTGACAAAGAACAGTGACAACTTCAGACTGAGAGATGGAGCAAAAGTCCAATTAAAGTACCAGACTTAAGAACAGATTTCCTAACATGAAGTTACCTTGGTGGTGGTGGTGGTGGTGGTGGTAGTGTGCCGTGGAGTTGGTTCCAAGTTATAGTGACCCTGTATACGGTTTCCAAGGTTGTAATTCTTCACAGGAGCAGAAAGCTTCATCTTTTTCCCGTGGAACAGCTGGTAGTTTCAAACTGCTAACCTTGAATTTAGCAGCCCGACTCGTAACCACTACAAAGTTACCTTAAGACTATTTTAATTCTTTTCAGTTACCACATTAGAAATCTGTTCAAGGTCTGTGACCCTCCTACTCTCTTGTTTACCTCCACTCTATTCCTTTGATCCTGTCATCAAGAAACCTGCTATTTGCAGGTAGGTTTACTAACTTCTTTCATACATCTGAGAGGTGTGAGTTTCTCCAATTCAAACAAGTCCAGGTCAGATTCCTGATGTATTATCTTGTGTTCCTACACCTTACTCCACTGTCTTGAATTTCCAGATCATTCTTTCCTCCTTGACCTTCCCTGTAACAATTTACTCTCTGAAAGTCCATTTTCTTTCATTTTATCTTCTACTGGCCATCACTACTGTGCTTAAGCCCTGCTTCCCGGAGTCTCCTGGGCCAAGACTTGCTCACCAGGCTCCCTTCAGCCACACTAACTGCAGATCCCAGCACCACAGCCATCCTCAAACAACAAAGCCAGCCCTCCTCCCCACAAGCCTGGCCTCTCATCTACACACATGTTCCTCCAGCAGGACCAACATCTCAACCCTGCTTCCCACAGGATTTCTACTCAGCACGTCACCACCAATACTGGACCCAGTTCCTATTAGAAAGTGTTCCTCCAGTTCTCTACGTGAATTAAAACTAGTTCCTTGGTAGCAGGCTTCCCTATTTAGTTCAAAGAATAGCTCATTTCAAATACCACAGAAGTTGATTTTCAACCAGTCTGTTCACATAATCTGCTAATTCACCCTTATCCCATTTCATCTAGCTGAGATCGAGACACAGATGACAAAAGGTCACTCAACTATGCAAATGTGAACGTTTCTAGTCCCAGAGATAAAATCTGAGGAAAAAAATAAGAAAGTTGAGTAAGGATGTTGGCCTCTAACTAACTTTTCATGTGAATCTCTTTTCGGTTCCCTCACTGGACTATATGGTTAAATTGGATGACGGGGACCATTTGTAACTACATAAAGGGCTCTATCTGTGTGGTGGCTCAATGGCCCCATAACTAGAGGTCATTGCTTCCTGAACAGCCTCTCCTTTGTTTTCTCTCTTTCCCTCTGGCTCATGATCTGCCCTATCTTGAAATATTTCACCTGAATAGCTGGCAAATAAGGAAGACAAGGAAACCTTTTGACACACTGTGTCCTATGCACCCTATACCCAGAGACTTTGAAGAGCACAAAAAATAAACAAGCATCAGTTAAAAGCTTGAGGGATAACCGATCATGATTTTAATGATAGAAAAACTATGGAATAAGAGACATCACCTCTGAAGGAGAAACAGCAAGTGGGAAGGCACGATCAGAGACCAATTAGCAAACTCCCCACTCAGATACCTTTCTGATAGGTATCTCCAACCAAATGAAAAGTACACCAGATGCTGTCAAGCTGACTCCAACTCATGGCAACCATGGGTCTCAATGGCTGATATTTTGTAAGTAGATCACCAGGCCTTTCGTCCAAGGTGCCTTTGGGTCGACTTGACACTCCAATCTTTCAGTTAGCAGTGAACACATTAACCAATTTGTACCATCCAAGGACTTCCAAACCTAACAAGTCCAAAATCAAACTCTTGATCATTCCCCTACACCTGCTGCTCCAACATATAGACCTCCGGCCTCGCTGGCAATCATTCTACCACCTGCTCATGCCAAGCAGCACTGGGTGGGGTCCTGGACTCCCACTCTCCCACAGCCTTCTCATAGCTGTTCTATGAGAGCAAATACTACTGTCTCTATGTTTAACTCTATATAATCAGAATCTGACCATTTCTAGCATCTCTACTGCTACCATCCAGGCCCAGCCCACAGCAGTTCCTCGGATCTGAGTGCATCCACAGTGGACTACCTATTTCTGTGCTTACTCTCTAACGGCAGTCAAATTTCCATACATCATCCAGGAGGATCTCTTTAAAAGTCACAAAGGTAATTATGGATAATGCTATCCATTCATGTTTTATGCAATTTTCTTTAAATAATGCAGTTCATAAATTTGTTTGTTTGTTTAATATAAATAGAAAAAAGGAGGAAAAAAAAAGAATTATGCCCATCTTTTAGGTTGAAATCCTCCATCTCACTTTAAAGTAAAGTGCAGTATTCCAGAAGGCCCCTCACAACATGAACGCTGCTCTCTTGAATCTGGTCTCTGACTTCCCTCTGGGCTCCTCATTGCTCCTTAAACACACCAGCACAGACAAAGAGCCAGGTGTCTGCTGTCCAAGGGTTTTTGCTCCAAGTGCGCTTCTGCAAGGCATCTGCCCAGCTCCCTCCCTCACATAATTCAGGCACCCACTCAAATGTCAGTCTTGGAATAACTTCCCACGACAAGCCTACAAACGGTAACATCCTAACTCAATTTCTTCATCTTTATTTTTCTTTATAGCATTCATGGAGCAGGATACATATTCATTATATTCTGACTTCTAACGAGAATAAAAATTCCATGGAACAGGAACCTTATGTGGATTTTGTATTGCTGTATTCATTATTAAGGAGCTCTGGTGGCACTGTGAGTAAGGCTTTGGGCTGCTATCCACAAGGTTGGTAGTTCAAACCCACTAGCCACTCCACCAGAGAAACATGAGGCTGTCTGCTCCCATAAAGATTTAGTCTCAGAAACATAACTATCAGGGTTGCTAAGAGTTAAGATCAACTCAACTGCATTGGATTTTATATACATTAGTACAGAATTCTATGGTAGTGGTGCATGGTAGTAGCATATATTTTGAATTAACTAATGATTGAAATGACTGAATGAACTCTAGTATGAGGAGAGATAGCTAGGCAACAAGGACCTAATCAGCTGGTGACCACGGTCCTAGTACCAGAGCTCCCCCTAACACATTAATCAGCCAAGAGTAGCCAGAGAGTAATTCTAATCACTATCACATGCCTCACAACAGTCTGATCTGTCGCAGGACAATGAGAATAAATGGACTCATGGCATTGGAAAGATCTCAGAATGCACCCAATCCCTCCTATACACCAAACTCCTCCCAGGCCCCCTTGGTGGCTGTGGTTACTGTGGGATTAGAAACAATTCCCAACACATAATTTGATGGACAAAGGATCAATGAGGCTGTTTTCTTCCTTATAGGACAAACATCTTGCAATTACTTACTCACAGTGTCAGTTAACTGAGCCACTTAGAGGCAGGGCCCCACCCACATACAACACACCAGCTTGCAGATTGGAGGATATTTTCCAAGCGCTCTTTCCTGCTGGCTCAGAGACCACAAAACCAGATAACTGAATGAAGGGAACTCAAGGGAGTCATTATCAGGATGAATATAACCCCAAATGTCACACAGAATAGTGCTTCTCAGTCTTAGCTTCATCTAAGAATCACTGGGGGAGCTTTTTAAATCCTGATGCTCAGACTACACTGAGAACCCAATTAACTGTGATCCCTGGACATATGGCCCAGGCATCAGGGCTTCTGAGAGTTCACCTCCAAAGCCCATTCTTATCAAGTAGGTTCTGACTCTGGGCCAGCCCACGTGCTACAGAGTACAGAGTAGAACTGTGCCCCATTGGGTTTTCTTGGCTACAGTTTTCATGAAGGCAGACTGCCAGGCTTGCTGGGTAGGTTCAAACTGCCAACCATTAGCCCAATAGTCAAGAGACCCCTGTTTGCACCACCCAGGGTCGAGAAAGCTCACCGTGTGAGTCTGAATGAGCAGCCCAAGTTGGAAACCATGGCACTACAAGGGGATTTCCCTATCTTTTCATTCTATGTTCCACAGACTCTTTGAACCGTAAACAGTTGGGGAAGTGCTAATCTGTCAGCACAGACATTAAAAGTGTGTGTGTTTTGGGGGGGAGGGAAGCAATGTCTCCTTACCTCACCAAGGTGTCACCGCCAGCTCCCCCTGGGCTGTAGTACAGCACATTCTCCAAAGACAGAGAAAACTTCAGCCCCTCCGCCTCTGAGATGTACAAATTAGTACGGTTGTCACTGTGACTGACACACACAAACACCTGGTCTTCCGAGGCATCTGCGATGTAATATTCCTTTGGAAACCAAAGTTAAAAAAAAAAGCGTTAAAGTCAAAATACAAACATGCCCCGAGAGCCCTTTCGATACACATGAAAGCAAAGGCTTCCAAAGGCCCCAGTGAGGACTGTGGACCAGAAGCCCACATGAAGCTGCCCCATTTGCAAATCAGCATGGAGAGTTATTTCTCTGTGGGAACCTGAGGTGGGTCTGCAATTGCAACAGACCTTCAAGTTAGCAAGTGGGGTCACTGAACCCCATAAAAGGTCTAAAACCTCCTTTTAGTCAACAGCATCTACCTTTTTCATCTATGATACATCTCATGAGTACAAAGTACACTATAGATTAATTTCCATTTCATTTTCTTCATTTTCCCTTAAATAGCAAATGAAGGTAGCACCCACAGAAAGCAGGGAATAGCCAAGAGTGCCCTTGTCGCATGCTCCTCTGGGTATGAACTTCCCACGACATCAAGCCCTTCCACTGCCACCTCCTCTCTGCATCACTTCTCTGATGACCCAAGTCTCTGATGGTCTTTCCTACCAATCTCTACCAGTTATAACATGTATTATATAGCCAAGTACTTAACTACATCAGATTGGGTTGGGTTTTTTATGTACATATCGTCTGTTTTGGTCCATCCAGTCTGTCCATTTTTAAAAGGTAAGGCCCAAATCCTCTCCCCTTTTGGAACCTCAACACCTATTAGCAATACAGCAGGTACTTGTTGACTACCTGAGGTTGTGCCCTAACTTCCTAGGCCTTGAGTGCTGGCATGCTGAGCCCTCCGACTATAGCCCCAAACCTATCAATCTTCTCCTCATAAAAGCTCCTCATTCAGATCCACTACACCCAATGAAAGGAGAACACAATAGATCAAGATGCCCAAAATGCAATGGCTCTCTCTAGAGACCTATCTAGAAAATGACTTCAGACAGCCTCAAGGCAGCCTTCTTCTGACCTCAAATAGAGGACAAAAACATTTCCCTTCATCTCCAAGCCGACCCCACTCACATTAATAGGATGCCTGGTGACAAACTGGGCTGCTCGCATGGGCTTCCGGCCAAAGGAGACCCAGAGCTGGACAGAAGACTGCTGCTGACTGCCCGAGTGATGCTGTCAAGGAGAAAGGGAGAAAAATTAATTGTGCCAGCTTTTAGTCAATCTAAACAAGGCAAAAGAAAAAACAGAAAAGGTAGACTGTTCCGACTCTACTAAAAACACAAAACTTAGAACATGACTTCAAATTCACATTTTTGTAATGTCTATCATCACTCTTTTACCTGAGATAGTCATCAATAACCCATAAAACATTCCAACTCATAGCAAATCTACTGGATAGAGTGTATAAATCCCATGAGGTTTCCAAGGCTACTTTTTTTTTTTTTTTAACTTTTTATTGTGAATTGAGTGAATGTTTACAGACAAGATCATCAGTTTTACACTCAACAAGTCATATACTTTGTTTCATCTCGATGCTTACAATCCCCTCCATGTAACAAGTTATCCCACTTCCTCCTTGTGGTTCCTACTTCCATTCTACCCTTCTTCCCATCCTTGCTAAACTTTGTCTTTAGGTAAATGGTGCCCTTTTGATTTTGAATGATTGACCATTCCATGGTGAGCATCCCTTCCTAGTGTTGTCCAGCCTACATATGTATCTACTGCTGGCTGAAAAAATCCTTTCCAGATCTGACAGGCGATTGATGGCCATACTCTCAGGTTCCTCCATTCTCTTTCTAACCAGTAAGTCCCGTCTTTTTTTTTTTTTCTGTTGTACTTGTATTCTTTTATTAATATGCTAACACTTTTACCTAATTACCATTTTCATCATAAATGGTTTTAACTTTTTAAATTTTTTAAATAATTTTGAGTGTGCCACATTTTCTCCCACTCTATCTGGAACCTTCGCATGTGATCCCTTTCAGAGCAATTGGTAGTATAGTCAAGGCTGCAATCTTTACAGAAGCAGACTGCCTTTATTTTATCTCCTGTGGAGCAACTGGTAGGTTCAAACTGCTGACTTTTAGTTAGCAGCTGAGTACTTTAACCACTATGCCACCATGGCTCCTTGGGTCTTCAACAGATAGTAGGTACTCCATGGATATTAGATGAGGAATAAGGAAAGTGGTATGATGGGGAAGGACATAGAAGCTGTCAAAGGTTGAGCAGAATGAGCCAAGGGGACCAGGCAAGCATATTAACTGATGCTGCTTCAGACCGGACAGGAAGAGCCTAAAGCCCCACAACCTCCACATCTCGGGTGAGATCAGTCTTTCTAACCCCAACCCACCATACATACAAAACATTCTCTTCTTTTACTCCCATTTCTAGATTACAAGAATAATCGAGTCATAAGGCTTTAACATTCTGCAGCACACTTCAAAAGCCCTCATTAGTCAATACAACGTAACACTATGTGCAAAGGTTTAGATGATTAGTTTCAGTACCCCTATGCGCATATAAATCCTTATGAATATCTTTGAACATTTAGAAAGAATACCCATTCTTATGCTTGATATTTCTCCACTATTTATAAGTGATTATAGCTTAGAAAGCAGCCTTTTCTCAGTGATGTCCCAGCCCACTTCAAAGTTCTCCATTTAATCACTGCTGCTGAGAGGTCTGAGAGTTGAGAACGTATACCAAGATAAGTCTTACAGAAAATAAGCAAAACTCATAGCCTACTAAGGTCATTTCAGAAACCAAAATTCCACCCATTCCACTATCTTCTGGGAGAATTATTCCTAAACCTGGACAATTGAAAATAATACAATTTAAGTGGCTGTATTTTACTACCACCAAGAAACAACAGCACACTATTAACTGTAAGATGCATTGCAGGGCTCTGATACTTTTCTAAATAAACCATACATTGATCTTTGAAAATTATTATTACACTTACAAAAGTATGAAGCCCTTGTTGTTGTTAAGTACCACGGAGTCGGTTCCGACTCACAGTGACCCTGCACAGGGTTTCTGAGGCTGTAAATCTTTACGGGAGCAGAATGCCTCATCTTTCTCCCACGGAACTGCTGGTAGTTTCGAACCGCTGACCTTGAGATTGGCAGCCCAACTCGTAACCACTACACTACCAAAGCTCCTTATGGAGCCCTTGTAGCATAGTGGATTATAAACTGGGCTGCTAACTGTAAAGTCAGAAGCTTGAATCTACCAGAAATGAGGTTTTCTGCTCCTGTAAAGATTTACAGCCTCAGAAACCCTATACAGAGTTGTGACGAGTCAGAACTGACTCCGTGGCATACAGCCATCACCACCATTACAAAAGTAAAATATGTTCGTTAGAGGTAAAAAATTTAAAAGGATATAAGGTAAAATGCTGTTTTTCTCTCTAATCCCCAATCTCTCTTTCCACTTTACTCCCCTACAGGAGTCACTGGCTAACAGCCTCTTGTGCACTTTTTCACAACTTTCTGTGCCAGTATACACAAGCATATTTATAGTGCTGGTATCTACTCCATTATTCCTCTCTTCCTTAGCAACAGGATCCTGACTCTTGTTCACAATGCCATTCAAACCCTAGAATAACACTGCTGTTGTTAAGTGCTATCACGTCAGTTCAGACTCACAGCAACCCTATTGGATTTCTGAGGAACAGCCAGTAGGTTTGAACTGTCAAGCTTGTGGTTCCCAGTCCAGTGCTAATCTTACAGCACCATACCAGAAGTCTGAATAAAAGACTACAGTCCTTGATATTTTTTGCATTAACATGTGGGCAGGTAGTGACTACATACTAGCCAATAAGATGCAAAGAAAAGAGATGTGGGATTTCTTGGAAGGCTGCTTTAAAGGACGGCATCCACTGGAAAAGCTTCTATTTTAGCCCCTTGGTCTTTGTTTATAATTTCTAACTGTGACAAGGATACAATGGCTAGGGCTCCAGCAGACACAGGAGACCTTGAGAATGAAAACCATTAGTTAGGTGGGTACATCAGGAAGACAGGAGCTGGGTCCCAAATGAAACCAGGACACCAACACACGGGCCCTAGCTAGACTGCTTACCTCTTTTTCAAAGGAGAAAAATAAAATTTCATCTTCGGTAAGCCACTTCTATTTCTAGTCTATTACCAGTAACCTTGCACAGTTCCAAATTGGTACACGCAGTTTTATTTTTCACATGCAAATAAAATCACGATACTGCTCTGAATCTCAACTTTTTTCATTAACAATGTATTTCAGACATCTTTCCATTTTCCATTTAACAGCTATTGATGGACACTTAGGTGGTTTCCAGAAGCAATGCTTGAATTAACATATTTGTATATATTACCTTAGTTCTAGTGTGGTGCTGTAGAATAAGCCCCGAACTGCTAACTGCAAGGTTTGCAGTTCAAACCCACCAGCAAGCTTCTCAGAAATCCTATACAGGTCTGTAGGAGTCAAAACTGACACGGCAGCACTTAACAATCATTACATGCTGCTTTTTTTGACACTATATTAGAGTATTTAGTGATATATTCTTAGATGAAGTCCACGGTTAAAACTTTTATTTTGTGCGTATGTCCTATGTGCATTCTTAACAAATAAAAACTTCAAATTATTTTTACTTTAAAAATATATTGCCAAATTACACGCCTGATAGTTGCACCAGGTTTAACTGGGAATTATTTAATATTTTAATCTTTGCTAATCTTACACCGCCTGAGAGTTTATAATAATTTTTTTATGTTTTTATTTTTGATGATAAAAATAAACTAACATAGGTGTCTGGATGATCTTAATTTCAAAATGGACATCCCAATTTATGTATGGAATTATGTCAGGAGCAAAAAGAAATGAAGGTGTCTTAGAGAATACAGCAGAAAGAAACAACGTAAATGACATGCTCTGACTAAGCAAAGACCAAAGGTGAGCTATTCCACTGGAAATTCCACAGAAGTATAGCCGGGGAAGCACAAGTGGGAGAACTGAGGCTGATCCCCAGGTACCTAATGGAATAGGGACACCAGTTCAAAAACACCTGGGCCAAATCACTGCCACTTTCTCCCTGGCAATAGTAATGAAGGTTCAGCAAAACATCATCATCATCCACATGAATACTGTTTATACTGAAATATTTATAGACAATATGACATGGCACCTAAAATTTGCTCTAAATATTCCAGGGGAGGAGGGGAGGGGGAGGAAGCAGTGGGGTCGAGAGCTGAAAAGACATCAGCAAATGTAACTAATGGTTAAGTTAGATGAGGGTCCATGGAAAGAGCTAATACTGACTTCTCATTTGTGTGTAATTTTAAATTTCTATAATAAAAAGGTATGTTGTTGCTAAGTGTCGTTGAGTTGGTTCTGACTCATAGAGACACTGTATAAGGTTTCCAAGGAGTAGCTGGTGAGTTTGAACCACCGGCCTTGTGGTTCAAATCGACCTTGCAGTCTAGTGCTTTATCCCACCACAACACTAATATTCATTGGGAAGTATTTCCAAAATGGCAGCATAAGGAATTCTTTAAGTCTGCACAGATACTAAAACAAAAACAATTCTGACATATATTTTTAAAATAAATTATTTCAGAATTCTGAAAATTAAATACAAACTTGCAATCTGAGGAGTGTTTATTAAGGAACAATAGTTCAATTGACACCCA